GAGGGAGATTTCTGCCTTACCAAAAGAATACATTTTCATCACATGCTGTTGGGAAGGTGATTCAGAATTGGAGTTAGTTACCATAGGAATGACAGAATTAAGGAGGGGGAGTGTGAGACAAAGGTGGGTCAAACCTCTGTGAAATTCCATGGAATTGGCTGTTGTTGACATATAATTTGACGTGGTATGGAGGACCATGGTCTGGTGAATGTTGTAGCATGACAAGCTTTTTCAATCCAGTTTTCATTTGTCTAACAAGATGAATGAAGGTGAGCATTTGTTACATAAGTCAACTAATGTGCTTTACTCACCAAGACCCTGCATTCTAACAAGCTCACCTTGAGTGCAGGAAGACAGTGCAGTTGGGGTAAGAGACACAGCTGACAAGACACAGTCTTTCAAAGTACTCAGGTGTTTCCCATATCAAAAGAGCTTGTTTGGAGTTTTGATGTTGCCAAAGAGGCCAGTTGGGCATTTGCCTCAGCTGTGATGGTGCAGGAGACTGGCCTGATACAGCTGTCATATTGGTTTGGGGCTTTAGAAGCTTTTCATCCTGTTAGTACTGCTCAGACCTCACATGCTGTGTAGGCTGTAGGAGATGGGGCTGTTAGAGCCAGAAAGGAGAGCTCATGGATTCTGAAGCCTACATATCACCTATGATATGGTCATTGTGGAGGCACAGGGAGGTTGCTTAAGGACACTGTAGTGTGTGCTGAGGGAGGACTATGACCAGCAGGAGCTAGGGAATTGGCTATCCAGTGGTCTTCAGTGTGAAGGTGTCAGTGACTGCAGCAGGAATGATGAGATGACCATAATTTTTTGTTAGAAAATATGTATGTGTATGTTTTTGGGACTCGTAGCTGGTCTGTGAGCACGTGTAACTGCTCTGGTAAGGGGCTGAGGAATTGCCCTATTTAAAGCAGTGTTGCCCTGGTTTTGAGAAGGCACTGCTCCTATTTCCTGAAAACATGCTGCTAAGCAGAGGAGCAAGGTGGTGCCTTAGGTCTAAGGTAGTACAGTGGGTCCTGTCTGACATCAGAGCTTTCCTTTTAAGTGAATCTTAAAAGGAGTAGAAGGAAGTGTAGAAAAAAATGAACAAACTGTTTTGGTTATACGCGGCAAAGGATGCTATTTAAAAAAGGAGTTATAAGCAAAGATGTAAGTTATTTGATAGTGAACCTGTCAGTAGCTCTATGGTGTGTGCTGGTTCTTTGGCACACACACACCGACAGAAGCACCCAGCAGAGTGTGGGCCTGGGCTGCTCTTAGAGCTCTGTAGCAAACTCAGCATTTCATAGTCATGCTGTTGAATGCCCAGGGACATAATTTTCCTTGGAAAGTAAAAAAATTTTAATCCTTTTTAGATGGTATGCTGTGGCTTTTGTTCCCTTCTCAAGGACTGCTTCATATTTATTAGTAAAATATTAAAGGCTATCTCTAAATCTCCCGTAAAAGCTTTACGAATACTAGAAATGAAGTGCTTATGTGGGGAGGGACCAATAGCCCCTAGTTGGTTATTGTGTGACACATGCAATCTGTAGAAAAATTGGAATATCTTTTTCCCTAGAAAAGTGGAAGCCTGCAGATGATGCAGAGAATTACCAGTGTCACCAACAAATACCTGCAGCTTTTCCTTGTAGGATTTGCTTCCCCTACCAAACTGATTCTCCTTCCATTTGTTATTCAGTCTGAACTCCAAGCTTGCTCTGTTTTTTCTTCTGTACTCTTTCGCATCCCATGCTATTTTTTTAGTTTCTTTCCATTAGAAAACACCACCAGTGTTTCCAGCCAAGGTTTTTAAACCTATGATTTGCAAATGATGGTAGAAATAGCTAAGCCAGGTTTACCTACCTTTTATGTATGCACCTCAGAACAAGAAGTTTCCTTTTGCAGATCAAACAGCCTGGTATAGCTTTATTCTGTCCTTTTCCCGTTCAATAGGGGCATTGTTCTAGTAAAAAATACTACTCACCCTTGCTGGGACTTCCCCTTTTCAAAATGCAACTATTTTTTAAGGACTATGTGTTACTGTTCCAAATTATTTTAAGGTTTGTTTAACAAGAGTTGTTTGGTCAAAGGTTGTAAGAGGCTTAGATACTCCTTCTAACCTCTTGCATTGACACAAGTCCTCGCAGATTTAAAATGCTACAATGGACAAAGTCTGTCAGAGGGATGTATTCATCCAAGATTTGAGAATTCATTAAAAAGGGCTTTGGTCCAGATCAGATTTTTATGCTTTCTCTTATGCTTCTCTAAAACATTGGGTGCCTTGAATACATAGAGTTAACTTCAGCTGCATGCTGCTGTGATTTCAGTAACTTAGTAGAGTTTCCTGAGGAGAGTCCCAGGAGGTTTTTGGGGATTTCTGTTGTATTGCTGTGTAATCCATCTTTTACAGGAAGTATTAAAAAACCTCAGATAGAATATTCTGTATGTTTTCTCAGATGTGACTTGGTTTTAATTTCAAGAATTTCCTACAATTTTGAGGTTTCAAACAAATTATGGTGGGTTGTTTATTAACTGCACAATTGCTTTATTATACGCCTTTCTGTACATCGCGAGATCTTTAGTTCCCTGTTCTTCCCGTACATCATGAGATCTTCCGTGCACCTCTCCCTACAACAGGGGTGTGGTTGGAGGAGCTGATGGGTAGACGGTGATACCAGCAGTCTGTAGGAGTGATTTAGCTTCAGTGTTTTACAGGGGCTGTTTAGAACACCTCACTGAGTCATTGCATAAAGGCCTCTTCAGGTGATTTACCAACTGCAATAACGGTGTCTTGAATGTGTTGGCTGTTCAGGTCTCTTGTTATTCTTCATTTGTCATCTGTCTTTATGTGCTATTAGCATGTGATTACCTTGAGGAGACCTTTGAACATTTCTTCAGCACTCTTCACTGTAAATAATTAATGTCTTGCTATTATTTATCGAAAGGGACTGCTAGGCGGCATTTTTCTTTTTTGGTTGCTGGAAGTTTAAAAAATGGAAATGCCAGTAGCTATGGGAAGTTGTTTCGTGTTCGTCTAATGTGTCCATATGGTAGAATATGGTATGTCCTTCACAGCACAATGAAACATGATTGTGCCAAATTCCAATTTGTATGGCATTCTCATTAATGACGTCTATTTAAGACATCCATTAAAGGCCCTTAATGTTAATTAACTGGACTATGCCAATAAAGTTCTATTAGCTTCCCCCTATTAATTTAATATTATAGGCATTTAACAGATGTCTTAATTAGATGTTACACTGAAGGCTATGAGCAAAATTAAAATTAGGTCATTGTCCTGAAAGGAAAGTTTCAGCTATGATTTATGCTTTCTACCACTTTGTTTTTCATTCTGACTTTTCATAGGAAACTAAGGGATTTAATTTCAGAGAACATTAAGTACTTCAGACAACATAATGAGTACTAGGTAGAATAGTAACTTGGGTCTAACAACTTTAACACATCTTATTCTTACTTTGCAGACATAAATTCATCGAAAAAAGCTGCTATTCTTTTGTACTTCCAAGTGTGTTTATTGGTATTTTCAAAAGCTTTCCCAGTGTTTCTTTCTCCTAGTTTCCCACTGGTGTGAAATGACTGTATTTCCCTGTAAAGAAATTCACATCTCTAGCAAAACCTGTCTGTTTTCCTCACCTCAAGGGCAGTACTTCATATAATTGCAGCAAATATTTATTTCCATACCAACTCTGTTATTTCCGGACTTCAAAGGGGGCAGACAAACAGTCTGTTCTTGAAAAACACTATTCTTGCCCATGCTGTGATTTCAGCTGATCAGTCTGGTTGAGTGATGCTGAATCTGGTTTGTGTCTGAGGGATTATGCCAGGGAGATCCAGTTCTCCTCTCCTGTAACCTCCCCCAGCAACAGGTTCCAGAAAGGAGGTAGGAGCTCTGGAGGCCAACTGAGGGCTGACTGGCACAATTTTCACAGGACTAGGGAGGGTTGGAGGTGGTGAAGACCTTTTGGCTTTCTTGTGGCAGATAAATGGTTCATGTGCCCTGCACTGAAGAGCTCTAACTGGAGCTGTCCTCCTAACCCCAGTATTAGGCTCTGGTGTGTAAGTATATGTGAGGAACAGCTGTGCCCCCCGCCCTTGCCATGACCCTGGTTGGCTACAATTGCTTGGATGGTGACAGGGCAAAACTCCTTTTCTTAGATATAGGTCTTTCACTGGATCCTGAAATGGACTACATCATTTTAATTGAAAGCTACCTTTATAATATAAATGCCATAGAGACTCTTCTATAACAGAAAAACATAAAGTGATCTAAATACAGGCGTCATTGCCACCTCACAAACAAGTCAAACCTGCCTAGTTGATGAGACACTGTAATCTGGGCAATAAAAAAAAAGATCCTGGAAGTATATAGTAAAAAAGAAAAAAGATATAAAAGTGGCTGAGGATACATGAAGCACGCGTATTCAGAGCTGACCCAGTCTCCACTGGTGCATGTGTGGTCTCCATTACAACCACTGTTGTGGACTGTTGCAAAAAGCAAATATTTATAAAAGGTTTAAATGCTAGAAGCTTCTTAAGTGGTGTTTTATTAAGGGTGGTTGGTGAGTTTGAGACTTACACTATGAAACTACCTGACTACTTCTGTTCCAGTGATGTACTGATCATAAGTGATATAAATTGCCATCCACACTAGCCTTATTTAAAACTGTATGTAACATATACTAATAAGAATAAAGGTATTTTAAAAATGTGTAACATAGATATCATATCTAAATCTATATAAAAAAGGCTAAAGCTATGAATAGAGGTTAAATATTCCGTAAAGCAATTTTGTGGGTAACTGAACTACAAGATTGAATGGGGGTCATTTCCATCTTTGAATTTCTAGCTTTAGGTGCTTCCCTCTTTTGTGATGTGTTGTGTTCCCTACGCTTTGGCATAACAATATGTAATTACTAATACAGACATATCTGCTTTAACCTTAAAGGAGGATGTTATTAGTAAGCACCTGGTAAGCAGCTTGTAGGGCTGCATTACATGTTTAGTATGGTTATATTTTCACTCATACATATTACCTGTAACAATATTAACCACAGGGAAGGAGATATTCAAGGTAAAACCTATCAGTTGAAACAACTTACTTGCATATGCTTGCACCAGGCGAAGATGTTATGCTGGCCCAGGAACGATGAATATAGAAGAGCAGCTGTCATCACCTCCAGTCTCATTGTAAGCACATAATAGGCAGAGAAAGCCCAATTGATAGAGAGGGCGACAGTAACATTTATCAGGGTTACAAGAGGTAACTTCCATTGTGCAACTTTATAATTTTAAATTGAAACAGAAGCCAGGTAATCCATACTAATCATAAAAGTTTATTAAAAGACAGCATGTTATATACAAATAACAGATACAACAAACTCCAGCAGTCTGAGAGACTGCTTTAAAGACAACTGATAGTAGTCATTCTTCAGTAAGAAATGCTTCAGAAGTATTTCACATAACTATTCCATTTTTAATCTGTCAGAAAACCTGGTCTTTAAACTGCAGGAAAACAGCGGACATCTCTATTAGTACTTCTGACTTTCCATGAAATCAGAGGTCAATAGTTCCTTTCAGCTTGAATTTTTTTGCAGACCGCTCACTCGCTCTAAGCTGGAACTTGCTTCCGTAGATGTAGGAAATAAATCCATCAATCTCCAACATAAATACATTATTGAGTTTGGGAACAACTGAAAATGCAAAAGGAAAAAAATTAACAAAAGTGAACTAATGTAAATTTCTGTTATGAAAATATATTGATGTACCATGGGTTACTATTCACACGTGGACTTGAGGTTTGCCATGTTGCGAAGTTTTAATGCTTTAGCCAGAAAAGAAAAATAACCAAACCCTCTAAATTTTAAACTGGAATTACTAAATTAATCCTCTTCCAGGAGCATGCAGTAAGTGCCGCAGAGAACATCTCATGCGAATCAGATGAACGAGCCGTGTACATAATCATGTTGGGTTCCCTGGAAATGCTTTCTTTTAGTTCTCACTTGAGATACTTTTTTGGTAAAATATTGAGCTGTTACATGGTCAGTGAAGACACTGATTTCTGCCACTCTATGCAAAGAACTAAAAGCACAGACATAAAACAATGTACTCTGGGAGGTTCAAGTTGAGAAAAGCACAGCAAAAATTGTCTTGTGTACCTTTTAATTTGTCCTCTTTAGTGATAATTTTGAAGATGTGTTTAAATTCCTGTAGAATGATTCCTGTTATCCCAACGTAAGAGGGGCACTTTGATTTTGTGACTGAAAGAACAGAAGTATGTATGTATTAGAAAGATGCAGTTCTTTGCTCTTCTACAGTTGCCTCACGATTTTAAAAACTGCATTATTTCAGACTGATTCAAACCAGTTACAGTAATCACTGGTAAAACTCGCAGTTAATCAGAGCAACTAACAACATGATCTTCAAGAGCCATTGACATATGATCTCACCTATGTGATTCTAGAGTTAATGATACTGAAAAGAATTCAAAAATAACCCCCTGAAATGGAGTGTCTACTTCAGATGATTTTGTAAAAGAAAACGAAGAGAATACCTGTAACAATAGCTCCATGGAGATCAGCTTTTAGCAGTTTGCCCTGAACCATATGTGGCTGCCTTGAAGAGAGTGGGATTAGAGAAGAGGGAAAGAAAATGTTAATAAAACAAAAGTTAGGTTTACAAAATGTGACTCTGACTACTGGAATCATGGTCAAAACTTACAAAAGTAGTATATATCCTATCAAGTAACTATGATGTTTCAAACAGTAACTCAGTAACCCTGGAAACATCTACCAAATCAAAACCATACTAATTTAAAAATATTTCAACTTACGCATCTGGTTTAAGTCCATGACAGAGGTCTCTGATATACTGTTTCCAGAGTTCATGTAGTGGTAGAAAGATGGTGTATCTGTGGTAAAAAGGCAAAAGTAGTATACAGGAACTTACTTATCAGAAAATCTAGTGGTTGTTTACTAAAGTAATTCATATTTACAGAGTTAAAACTAACATAACTTTTGTTATCTGCCCTCATAACCTGCAAGGTAACCCACTTCAAACATCAGGTTTGCTGTAGAAAAAAATGTACAAAGTATGCTTCTCTCTATCAACCCCAAATGGTGATGTGTTTTAGAGGGTGAGAATACATCTAAGACCAAACAGATTTCTACTCTTTACCTCCCCACTTTGTTAGCAACAGCAGGGGCTTTACACAACATGCATTGGTTTGAGGAACCTGATGCAGATTTCTGACTCTGGTCATGGGCAGTCTGACTTAAATCACCTCTGATTTAAGTTTTTGATCTGAGTTAGGTATACAAAAGGAAAGAGAACAAGTAACAAACAGAAATGAATTTTCCAACTATACAGACAAGAGAACTGTTTTTCATAGTGAAATGCCACAGAGTCTTGGACTGACTTTGCATACTGAAGGGTTAATATCCACACGCATATGCTGTCACTTTTACATACTTTTGATGTACTTCCCACTCATACCCCACAAAGAAAATATTTAAGATCTTACCTTTGCTGTTCGGGCTCAATTTCAAAAAGACGCATTTCTCGCCTTTGTTTGGCAGTAAAACCTTTTGTTTTCTTCCTCTTTTGCTTTCTCTTTTTTTGGGAATAATGCTCAAGAACTACAGCTTTCCGAGTTAATATATCCTGGATAGCTTCATCTTTCTTTTTTGGCATACTACGCTTCAGGAAGGCATTTACAAACGCTTTGGCTTCTTCTGATCCCTGAAGCTAAGGATATTTTAAAAGATACTTTAAAATATTAAATTTTAATTGCATTGAGAGCTTGCTGATGACTAGCAGTTTTTATCAAGCTGACAAATTTAACATAGGAATGGGAAATCTACACATACGTAAATCGTAAATGGAAAATGTTCACGTGCAGAAACCCCGTGCACGCACTGTCGAGTGCAAGCATACGACAGCCTACGGCTTTCTCACGTCAGTTTAATGTGTCTGTTAGTGAGGAAATGCCCATTTTTGCATTTAATTTGAAACGGTGCCTTCAAACGCTGAAGCCAAAGGGAGCGTACTGGGGAAACCAGGGCCGGCGCCCCCGCCCGCGGGCACAAATCCACCCCCCTTCCTTTTGTTTCGAGTAAGACTGTGTGAGAAAAGAGTTGAAATCGCCAAGTAGCTCCCGGGACGGGCGCTTCGGGCGGGAGACGCTGCTCCCGGGACCGCCCCCGCCGGCTGTCCTGCCGGGCCGGGGCTCCGCCGGTACCTGGAGGCGCAGCTCCCCCGTCTCCTCCGGCGGCAGGCGGCGGTACAGCAGCCCTGCAAGGCACAGCGGGGCAGGGCGTCAGGAGGGGCCCCCTCGACCTCGGGCGCTCACCCCCCCCCCCCTTGGGAG